GAGCAGAGGACATCTGCATCTCAGCTTTCTACTGGAGCTGCAGTCAGTAGCCTGATGTGCCTCTCAGCTACTGCACAGAAATTACCTGGCCTCTGAGGTCCTCCAAATACCTGTTGAAAAGCATCCTGAGAAGCCAGGCCAGAGCCAATTTCAAGTGAAATGTACTTAATAGTAAAGGCAAAAAATAATAAATAATAATTTAAGTTGTAAATCATCGCTTCTGAAACATGTGGACAGTTAAGTAAGTTTGGTCTTTCCTGGCTGGAAAGTAGAATTGTATTCTGCCTGCAGCTGCCAAAACCTGACTGCCCAAGCAGAATATTGGGCTCATTAGCACTTACAGGAAAGAGTATTTCAGAAGTGCTGGTGGAGGGAGGGGGTTATTCAGTTATTTATAAACCAACACCTGTGAACCACTTCTGCCAGCAAGGAGTGGTCCTGGAAAAATATAAATGGTTTTCTTCTCTTCTGCTCATTTAAGAGCTGTTAACTCACGTTCCACCTCTTTGCCCATGCCCAGCAGTAGCTGTCCCTGCCACTGATTTTTTCTTCATCTAACCAAAAGGCTTGTTCTGCAAGACTGGGGAGGCTCTGTTACAGTTTCTCACATCTTGTTACTTTTTGCCCTTGTTGGTGCCAATAAATAATAAATGCACTTGAGAGCGCAGTAGTGTTTATTGCAGACCCCGCATCAGTGTTACATTTTGGCTATTCCTGGTGAGGAGTGAAGACACAGCAGCTCTTCACCTTTTTTGACACTTGTGCGGAACACAGGTTGCAGCTTCATTCTTAGTCTCTCCATGGCTGTAGCAGTACTGCCTTTGCAAGGGAAGCCTCTGATTACATGTACATCTGTGGCATGCTACCACTCATCAGGTCTGTTACTACTGCTTGAAAAGGCATTTGGAGCAATAACATGTACCAGAAAAGTTACAGCTTCACCATTGACAATTTTTCCTTTTGGAGTGTTTTGAGGAGGCAGCAAGAGGAAGGGGTGTAATAAAAAGCATGTCGTTATCTGCTCTTTGTTCTTTTCTCTTCATCCAGATCCCCTACTGCACGGCAGCTTTGCTTATTTTTATATGCATCCTGATAGGGTGGGGAAGCATTTCAGAAATAGCATTATGTCTTTCTACTGGAGACTCATTATTTTGTTGCATGCAAACCTCTAAACTCTGTCCATGCACCGATCTAGGAAATTTTATCTTCTACACCTTTATTTTCACCACTGAGGCAAAGGCAACCTGAAAGTTCTATTTTTATTCTGGTGTAACAAAACAATGTATTTTATATACAGAAGCACACATACAAAGATTCTGTATTCTGAATGTTTATTTCTTGTCAGTTGTTATGGTATACAGCAGAAACATAAAATCTGTCAGGTGAAGAGAAAAACTAGGAGGCTTTTAAAGGGACCAAGAAGTGGTAGCAGAGGAAACCTCTAAATATTGTTCTTGTTTTAATTTACAACGGTATAGGCGTATTTTGAGTATTTGAAATCTCTTTGAATAGTGACTTTATGCAGTAGATAAGTTTCACCTTTTTCTTACTCGGATCTTTATCAGAGGCTTAGGAATTGCTTTAACACTCAATTAAGAACTTTGACCTCCCACTCTTTTCTACTATTACATGTTCTCATCTGTATTTCTGGAGCCTGTTGAGTATAACTTCCTGGTCTAGGTATTAGATGGACTCACCTAAGGTTAAGCCTTACAAGACCTAGTGCTCACCAGTACAGAGGAGAGCATTAGAGATGTTAAGACTGTGGGCAGCCTGGGCTGTAGTGACCATGCCCTGGTGCATTTTGTGATCTCAAGGAATGCAGGCCTGGCAAAAAGCAGTCAGGGCGCTGTGCTTCAGGAGAGCAAAATTCCATTGGCTCAAGGAACTGCTGGATGGGATTTCCTGGGAAACTGTCCTTAAGGGCATAGGAACAGAACAGAGCTGGCAGCTCTTTAAGAACACCCTTTTGCGAGCACAAGAGCTCTCCATCATCCAGCAGAAGAAATCGAGCAGAGGAGGCAGGTGATCAGCATGGCTGAGCAAGGACTTGCAACTGAGAGAAAAGAGGGAAATGTACAGGAAGTGGAAGCAGGGTTGTATAGCCTGTGAAAAATATAGGGACATTGAACATGTGTAGAAATAGCATCAGGAAAGCCAAGGCAAAGATGGAGCTGAACTTGGCAAGAGATGAGAAAAATAAGAAGGGGTTCTAGGGGTACGTAGGCAGGAGGAGACAGACAAAGAAGATCATAGATTCCCCCTCTGATAAATGAGTATGGAAAACTGGCTTCCTCAGACATGGAAAAAGCTGAGGTATTCAATAATAGCTTTGCCTCGGTCTTCACTGGTGGTCAGGCTCCTCTGCATGTCTGCCCTGAACCTCTAGGTGAGGGTGAGAGGAGTGGATTCTGACTCATAGTAACAGTGGAACAAATCTTAGACCTCCTCATGAAACTGAATGTATATAGCTCCATGGGCTAGGTGGAGGGCTGGAGCACCTCTCCTATGGAGAAGGGTTGATGGAACTGGGTTTGTTAAGCTTGGAAAAGGGAAGGCTCGGGGGAGACTTCATTGTGGCCTTCCAGTACTTGAAGGGAGCATATAAACTGGAGGGGGAACGGCTGTTTGTGAGGGTGGATGGTGACAGGACAAGGGGAATGGTTTTAAACTGAGACAGGGGAGGTTTAGGTTGGATATTAGGAGGAAGTTTTTCACCCCGAGGGTGGTGATGCAGTGGAACAGGTTGCTCAAGGAGGCTGTGGATGCCCCATCCCTGCAGGCATTCATGGCCAGGCTGGATGTGGCTCTGGGCAGCCTGGTCTGCTGGTTGGCAACTCTGTCCGTGGCAGGGGGTTGAAACTAGATGTCCTTTGAGGTCCTTTTCAATGCAGGTCATTCCATGATTCCACAATTTTATGACCCACTGCAAGGTGACTGTTTTATAATCACTGTAAATTCACAACTTCGCTGATTCTGGGAAACTTGAGCACTTTTTTATACATACATTTATGCACAAATCAATATAAGTACCAGACGCGTAGTAACTGTAGGACCAGAGTGAGGATTTTTTTTTCTGAAACTTGATCCTGGAAGTACTGTATAACCCTGAGCTTTCCATATCTGATTTTGTCTGTCCAACAGAACACTGCAGAACAGTCTTGTCCAACCCACATCCCACAAACTGCATTTGTGTCTGGACAACTAATAATGCAATCCCACAAGATTGGAAATTTTTAACCTTGATATGTGATTTTTTTTTATGTTTTTCATGAATCAGTTTCATGTAGCTTGAGTACAGACTGCATAGGTGACAACAGAAAGTGCATTAGTGCATTGCTAACTCCACCTTTCGTGCCTGCCATACACACTCTGTTGAATTAAAACCTATGTGTCTTGCCTGTTACGTACACTTGTGCCACTTAATGAGTAAAAAACATTGATTGCTGATGATAACATTTTGGCCTACCTACATGTGTGCGTGCCTGTGGTGCCCTGGCAATGGTTGGTAAAAAAAGAGGAACTTAAATAACTAACAGAAAATGAGGTAGTTGCCACCAGCATCTTGCATTTGATGAAATATCTCTGCATCTTACATCAAGAAAATTTACGTTCGAGAGCTTTAAAAATGAATAATATCATGCAAATGATTGTCAAAGCTGTGAGTTTCATAAAGTCCAAGTGATTGAATCATCACCAGTTCCAGGAGTTCCTTAGAAGTAGAGATGCTGTTTATGGGGACATTATTTACTTTTCCAAAGTAAGGTTGCTAACTGTGGGTAAAACGTTAAAAGAAATTTATGATTTGCAAACTGAAATTAAGGTAATTGTGGAATCAAAAGGAAAATCTGTGCCAGAACTTGAGGATGAAAAATAGCTCACATTCATTAGCATTTTTGGTGGATTTGATCACTCTATTTAAATGAGTTAGACATCGAACTTCAAGGAGAAAATCAACTTATCTGAGCTGTATATCAGGCCATTATAGCATTCAGAATTAATCTTAAATGATGGCAAGCTCAAGTTACAGAAAATAATTTTATTCATTTTGATACATTGGCTGAACACACTCCTGTAACTGTGAAAAATATGCAGCCTTGCTTTCCATTTTAATAAAGGAATTTGAAAATTCATTTCAAGGTTTCTGAAAAAATCATCTTTTTTTTTTGGAAAATTCATGACTCCATTTTTTGTTGACATAAATACATTACCTGTGAATTTTCAAGTGGAATGTATAGAGTTGCAATTAAACATTCAGCTCAGAGAAAAATTTGGTCATGTCTCTTCACTAGACTTCTATAAAGCCTGTCTTGCTGGAGAAAGATATCCTTCATTTCAAAATCATGCTATGTCAACACTTTTTATCAGGATGTATGTTTGTGAACAACTGTTTTCAAGAATGAAGCACAGGAAGAGTAAAATTAGTTCAAAAATCTCTGATGAGCATCTTGATAATTTGTCAAGAATTGTAACCACTTCCATCAAATAAGACACTGATGCATTAGTTTCACAAAAACAGGGTCAGATATTCTACTAATTTTTGTTTTTGATGCCCTCTTTTTTATGTTTCAAGAGAAAATGCTTTAAAAAAACCACAAAGTTTTGTTACTTTTATACATGAACTATGGTATGTATAGTATGTATTTTGTATGCAGCCCAAGACAATTCCTTTTCATTCAGTGTGGCCCAGGCAAGTCAAGATGTTGGACACCCATAATGTAGAACATGTTTATCCACATCTAGGAATGTTCTCTATGGGTTTGGAATATCTGTTCCTATGCCTGTAAAAAATCTAGATCATCATAATTTGGTCAGCTGGGATCTAGGGTCTTCGGTCTTTATAAGGGTAGCAGTCTCTTACTTAATTCTCCATCTCCACGCAGAGACTTGAAGAGCTGCTAACTGCAGTTAACTTCAGCAGAGATAGCATTAGTTCTCAAAACTGAAAAATGTGGTAAGTTTAATTTATTTTTCTCTCTGTTTTGCTGTTTACTCACTAGGGATGTGAGTTAATTGAGACCATGGATCAAGATTTAACAGACTTCACCAAGTGCCTTCAGATACTCCAGAAAAAGATAGAAGAGAAGGGCCTCCAGGTAAAGACACAACTTTGTCCCTTCTTATTTGTATCTACTGTTCATCTCAACATACTTAGAATTATTTTTTATGTTTGCACTGAAATGAAGCAATATTTTCAATAGCCATTCTGAGGTTTTGCCATATTCTCTGCACACATTGTAAACATTGATGATTCTGCTGAATAGAATTACGGAGTGTGTCAATGCACAACTGTTGGTTTTCCTAAAAGGCTGCTTCTATTGGTTTTTGTTAACGAACAAGTCAAAATGCAGAAGAGAGTTGTGACTCTCTGATGTTCAAAGTAAGAGCCCTACCTTAGAAATATGTTCTCAAGTCTTGGCATGCTGAGCCTTAATGTTCATATCTCCTTGATTTCCTCCCAAAGATGAGATGGGAAGGAGAACCTTATTGTGTCAGCATTACATATGGTGAGTAATATCTCCTTCTGCAAAAGGTTCCCCTGAAATTCAAGAGAACCTTTATAGAAAAAGCAGTGAGCTAAGCCTAAAAAGATCTGTTTGGAGTTGTGAGCTGCTCCTTTCATTTGAAAAGCATATAAGGCACCATTTCCTCTCCCCTTCCGTAGCTTGGTTTCAGAAGCCCTCCTGTTTCTCTGAGATGCAAAGTTACAGTTTTTCAAGAATTTCCAACAGGATGATCTGATGACAGGAATGCTCTTGGAATTGCTGCCCATGAGCATTCCTTCGTAAGGGCTGAGCTCTCTCCTCCTCTCTCTACCACTGGATGAAGAGTTGAGAGGAAGCAACTGTTACATGCTCTTACCAACATTGAGGACAAGAGGCTTATAAGAAAATGAATGCAAGAGCACAAGATGGAAGGGCATGTATATGTCATCCTTTCCCATTTTCATTGTAGCAAGACAGGAAAGTTCACCGGCAGTTTGACATCTCTTCTCCATCAAGGCAGCAAGAAATAGAAATGTCAGTATCTCTCACTCTTTTTTTTCCTCCTCACTCCAAGCTGATGCATAATTACCCATGTTTTGCTGAAGTTGTTTTGAAATGTCTAAATCTTGTGAATGAGATGTATCCATGGAACCCTTTGCACTCTACAGCCTCCTGAAGGGAGGTTGTGGTGAAGAGGGATTTGGCCTCTTCTCCCAAGCAACGAGCAGGACACGGGGTAATGGCCGCAAGTTGTATCAGAGGAGGTTTAGGTTGGACATAAGGAAGAACTTCTTCTCTCAGAGATTGGTCAGGCACTGCAATGGCTGCCCAGGGAGGTGGTGGAGTTGCCGTTCCTGGAGTGTTCAAGAGGCAACTGGATGACGTGCTGCGTGACGTGGTTTAGTGCTTGTGGTGGCAATGGTGATGAGGAGATGGTTGGACTGGATGATCTTACAGGTCATTTCCAACCTTGTGATTCTATGATTCTATGATTCTATGATTCAGAGTGCTGTTGCACAGTGTCCAGTACACACTGTTAATCATTAGTTATTTTTTCTGCCATTAGTATAGACGAAGATAAGAGAGTTTCTCAGGCACCTCTCTGAAGTCATTGAACCAGTTTCTCCTCAGCTGAGACACAGACCTGTAGGAAGAAGAGAGATTTTCCTCATATTGTCAAAGTAGACTAGCCACTTCATCTACCGTTGGTTGTTTGTTATCTTTCCAGATCACTCATGCCAAGATGCTGGCATGCAATGATGGGTGCACTCCATAAAACTCTCTGCCACATAAATTGCGTGCATTTGACTTTATCTGTATATTGAGATGGCATATTATCATCCAGGTTAGTATCATACACATCTCTATCACAGGTAATTCCCGCAAATACTGGATACCTTTCTCCATGGTGGTCCATTTGCCTGGGTAACATTCCAGATTTTCTTTGAAGGGCTATCTTTTCTTCACAGCTTACAAGGCCACCACCATAGAGTGAAGGATTGTATCCCTTTTCCAGTCACTTTGTCAGTGCCACCTTCCCTAGAAAGATAGCCTAGCTGCTTGGCTTCACTGCCAATTAAATCCAGGTCGTTAGTCCCATTATCCTAGCGCTGGAGCAGCCAGGTGACAACATGTTCATCTGGACAATACTGTAATCTTTTCACATATTTCATATCTCACTCAGTTTTAGGGACAGATGGTTTCTGTCTCTTTTATGAGTTCTGCGTCTCCTTTCTTCTCCCATTCTTGTGATGCCCCTTTTTCATCTTCATCTTCTTCTGTCTTTGTAGGAATTTTTCTCCTTATTAAATGATCTGACTTTTCTAGACATCACTTCCTTTTGCTTATAAGGGCAAATGATACTGGCACTGGCTTGTTCTCTGGTTGAACTGTGGGTCTTGTCACAGGGATTGAAGTGACCACAGAGTGGGTCACAAGGGTTGGGGCAACCGCAGGGCCTGTCAGAAGGATTAGGCAACCGCAAGGCCCATTCACAAGAATTGGTGCAACCACAGGATCCATTTCAGGGCCTGGAGCAGGCACTGGGTCTGTAACAGGGGTTAGAACATCCACAAACTCTGCTGCAAGTGTTGTATCAACCATAGTTGGTTCAGGGTCTAGAAGTAGAGAAAAGTTATTCACCTGCATCTGCATTTACGGCTTGAGATACAAACTTGCATGTTAGAATGTGGATTTTTTTCTCCTTCGGGAAAAAATATCATAAAAGCTTTTAGCTTAGAATATTACCTAGGTGGAATATGTTTTTCTAGTTCCAGGTGAATGAAATTGTATTTCTGCAGCTCTGATTTTTACCTATTGTCTTATTCAGATACACTACACTACAAGCCTGTTTCCCAATAATTTATACTTGAAATTACTAGACAAGAAAACTATCTCTTCAGTATTAAAATTAAACAAATAAATGTATTTTAAAATAAAAAAAAAAAAGGAAAGAAAAAGATTTTAGTTGTGCTGTGTTTGCTGCTCTTTCTGGGTAGCAATATGTTAAGCTAGGAAATTAAGTTAAATCAGCACATACTGTGGACCTATATTCAGTGACATAGTTTCTCTGGATGAAATTCCATTGCAAGACGCTGAAATATTTGAAACTGATGTTCTTCAGTTCGTTAGAAAGTAAGGTATCATTTATTTGCTACACTGGATAGATAGAATTTTTGCTCTGGTCTATTAGTCACCTCTGTTGAGGAGGTTTTTGAGTGTTTGGGAGTTTATGGGGGAATGTTTTGTTCCAAACAAATTAAGTTCTGATGGTTTGTTTTCCATTTCTGCACATCTGTTCTCCTTTTCCTCTTCATTCCCACTCACCCAGATCACTTGCGAACAAATGTGAACAGAGGAACAGCATGTTGAAAGGTAATTATATTGTACAGCATTCTTGCATGTGGTCACTTGAGAGGGAGACGAGGTGAGAGAGATGCTCTGTACCCCGTAAGAGAAGGCTGCAAAGTGAGTTCAGATTTCACTAGTTACTGGAGAATTCAGTTTGGGAAGAAGCCTTAAAAATGCTTTTATCACAAGGAAGAGTACAACTGGAGTTGACAGTTTACTCAGATCTGGTAGGAAAAAACACCTTGTTAGTTCTTGAACTGCTTGATTGATAATGAACAGTGGTAATGCTGTCTTCTAAAAGACAGCGAAGTTCTAATTTGCCAAGTTCATCATTACTTCTTCCCTTTCTTAAAGGAAAACTCTTAGAAAGTGTCTGAGTCCTCAAAGTCATTCATTTCTGATTTCCATTATGAAATGCAGTATCATATGGTTAGTGCATATCATATGCAGTATCTTGGTTAGCCAAGATGTGCAAGGAAGCAGTTTTAGGATCACTTTACAATACCTGAGTCACCTGTGTACATTTATACTCACTGCAATGAATGTTTGAACAAGCAGTACTGCATTTATGAAAGTTAGAATCAGTCCTAGTTTTCCCTTTCACAGTGCTAATTCATTCGTGATCTGAATTGTGCTGGATGGGTGGTGAGGCAGTGAAGTACCATGAACTAACATAAAGGCTGTTATACAAGGGCTGTTCTGAAAATACTGCCTCTTACTTTATTATGTTGGTTTATGATGTCAAAGGTGGATGTTTGTGGTGTTGAGCCAATACTCCATTTCGTTGCTGTGCAACAGATGGCAGCAGGGGGGCAGTCTGACAAAATGGTGTCTGACATGGAAGTGTGTATGAAGCAAAGGTGTGGAACTGAATTCCTCCATGCAGAAAAAATTGTGCCCATTTACATGCACTGACATTTGCTGAACATTTGTGGAGACCAAACAGAGGATGTTTGCATAGTGAGATGGTGGGAGGTGCATTTCAGCAATGGCAACAGCAGTGTGAATTACACTTCTCATTCCAGATGGCCAGTGAACATTTTTATTAGTGCAGCAGGCATGCAATGCCTGTTCATTGCTAGCAAAAAATGCATAACTTATGGCGATGACTATGTTGAAAAATAGTGTTTTGTAGCTGAGAATTTGTTCTATCAAATTTTATTCTTGTGTGCTCTTTGCATCTGTTGTAGTTTCCATGGAAATAAATGGGAGGCATTACTTACAGAACAACCTACATGTATTGCTTTCTGTATGACTGTGAGTACGGGTGAACACATGCATGCATGTAGGTTGTATATATGTACCCACAATTTTTCTGACAGCATACCTTCCTTCTGTGTTCTGTTTTTTTTGTGTGTGTGTGTATTGTTTTGTTTTTAATGCCTCAGTAGCTCTGTTTTCTGACATTTGTTTCTTCTACCGTTAATTGTCTATTCAATCTTATGTATGCATATTTTGTTTTATTGCTTTAATCAGTATCCTATTCATTCTATGTTTATGTGACATAGTTTTTGTTTCTTTGTTACAAGACCTTCAAATAAACTTATTTTCAGTAATTTCAGTAACTGTGTTATGTTCTTAGCTTTCTCTTATGTAACACAAACTATTACAAAACACTATCTGAACTGGCAAAAAAGATAGATTTGCTTACAGTATTCTTTTTAGAGATGAACAGATCTTACATTGAAAGTGAGATAAAAAGTGAAACCTGTTCTGTGGATCGGGAAGCAGAGGTGTAGAAACAACTTCTGCAGTCTCCC